GACAAGTTACAGACTACAGTCTAGTCTGGGTCTCTGCTGGATGTAGCAGCAGAGTGACAAAGAATGGACCAAGAACTCTGGTCTTATACCATGATAATTGAAGACATATGTCCCAACATCCTTAGGTGAAGACAATACCTTCTCTGTTTCAGGACAAACAAATAGCCCCTGTGTAAGTAAGCCTGAGGCTACTCTAAACAGATGTTCTCTACGCTCTTCTTAATTTAACTTCCTGTGTTTCATGGCTGGGGGATGGGAGAATGCTGCTGATGCGTCCATCACACCCCATCACACACGTAGCTTAACCCAAAGCTGTCTAAACTTTTAATATATTCTAATTCACTTTAATGAAAATCCAACAACTCTACTAACATTTCCCTCCTGTTTTTCATTAAAAGAATTAATCACATTCAATGTTTAGTAAACCAACTTAAAGATGGAACACAATGAAATTAATACAAACACAGTATTACATTTGAATCCAAGTTGCATCGACTCAACTTAGAGACCCCTCTTCACATGTGTCTTATAAAAATCACATTGGTTACAGAAACACACACAGAAAAGAACTCAAAAAAGTTTTTTAGAGATCATTTCATATTCATATGTAATTGCTCCCCCATAAACCATATCTCCCCCCTGTTTGAGACATAAAAAATGGCTCAATAACCAAACATAATTCCTAATTATTCATGTGTATGAAATGAAAAAGACACAAATACCCAATTTACTCATGTAAATTAATGTAGCATCACAATTTTTAAACTAAACGTTCATTTGAAATGTATTAACCTGGAATGTTTTAACCTGAAATATTTTCACCTGAAATGTATTAACTTGAAATGTTTTCACCTGAAATGTATTAACTTGAAATGTGTCAACTTTGGTTATCAAATTAAACACCACACCAAAAAGCCTATTGTCCAGTAACGCCTGTTGTAGACACGCCTCCACACCCCAATGTCTTCTGCAGCCAGCAACGTCCAGCACCATCCAGCACAGCCCCATCATGTCCAGAAGCCTCTGTCCTGTTCACACACTTTAGAACCGACAGCAAAAACTGGAAACCTCCAGTCCTCAGATCTTTGCACAAAGGTGATGTCTTCGGTCAACCCAGTCTTTCAGATGTTTTGGAAATCTGCAAAATGTCCCAAACACACACAGTCAAGTTGTTGATTTGAGTCTGACCTCTGGATGACCCTTTACATCATTGCTTCTGTCGTTGCAGCATTTAGCCTTGGTTTGGCCTGCTGGTTTGGCTTAGTTTGGCTTGGTTTGGCCAGCTGGTTGATGATTGGTGGGGGTGGGAGTGGGCGTCTCCTTCACAGGAATGAACTCTGAGCTTTTGAGCATCAAAAGTGGTGTTTTAGGTGTTACCCTCAAACAAAACACACAAAGTACACATTTGTTAATACATTTCAGACTTAGTTCAGTAAACCCAAAAGAAAACCTTAGCAGTTAATGAAAGCCGATGCTGAAGACAGTCCTATTACTGTAATTTTCTTGTCTCAGAAATGAAAACATCACAATTAACTATTGAAATAATGTATAACTAGTTATATTCAGAATCAAACAGATTTGCATTTCTTTGATGTAAACATTAAACATGCTACAGTAACTTCCCTTACTGTTGAATTTAAACCTTTCAAATGAAACTAAACATATTTATTATTCAAATCTGAAAAATTAAACTGCTTATTTTCAGAGTGTTTTCCACTTATCTGATTGTTCTGTGTCAGCATCAGTCAGAGAGGACTTCTTAGGCGTCTGATTCGTCGTTCCCATCCACAGCACCCCTGCCGATGCTTCTCCCCCTCCTCCTGCTCTTAGACCTGTCTCTCTGGTTGGAGTGAGGTGAAGCATGTGACCGATGCTGTGCCGGGAACAACCAAACACTGTCCCCAGACGTCCCTCTCTCAGCTGAGACAGAAACAAACTCAGAAACAGAACAAAATATTAGTTGACAATTCTGTTGATTTTACCCTAATATTGTTTCATATTATTGGTGAAATAATATTTTAGTCCTGATGTTTATTCCTATTTTATAGTCCGTTAGTTCAGTCAGTTAAGTCCCAAACATAGAAGACAAACACTTACATGCAAAACCTGAAGTAACAAGCAAACAAATACTACTCACATAAGAGGAGATGTTAGTCTGTTAAATCTTACACATAAAGACAGTTACTCACAAAACAAACAAAAACTCCAAATCAAACCCAAAAATAAACATAAAAGTCTGCTTGTGTGCACAAAATACCAGCTTTTGTGATCATAAGCAAACAAAAATCAAAAATCTGAGCTAACTTTGAGTCTTATTTATCATCAATCTAATTCAGTTTCAGCCTAATCCTTTTGAGCTTGTACCAAATGTTGTAACTTTAAAATTGTCCAATCACAAAAATTTCACAGCTCAAGTAAATTCAAATCTATCTATGATTCTCTAATCTCATTACCAAATGTTTTCACCAGTAAAATGTTTATCACTGGTTCCACCCCTTTTTAATTATTTTGTTAATGTAGCTAGCATTAACAAAAGTAGTTAAACTATAACAAACATACTCCACCCAACTAGAGTTGAGCAGACGGGAGGGACAGAATTGGGAGCAAGGGAGAAGGGGGATGAGGGGAAGAGGGAAAACAGGGAGGGGGGGGAGAGGGGAAAAGGCAGAAGGGGACACAAAGGATGCACCTCAAACGTGCACGCACACACACACTCACACTTTAGGCCTTTATATCTAAATTTCAATTTCCAGTTTAAATTATTATTAGAAAAATTGTTGTCGTCTTATTATGCAGGCTACCACAAAGTTCTACCAAAAAGTCACTAATCAGCTGAAGAAAAAATCACCACTCTCAAAATGTTCCATTTTTCCCTCAAATGGCCAGATCTGGTTTTCCAACTACACGTATGCGTCCATAGTGCTGAATTTGTAATAGCTCCCCGACTATTAGAAGGATAAACCCCGTTATCCTAGGCCTAAGAAATAGCCCTCGACTATTAAAAGGATAAGCCTCGTTATCCGCGGCCTCTTTTTTGAGTCCCCGACTTCAAAAGTCCCAGTGGATAGAAGTTTAAATTCTCCACTTTCTTAGAAGTGCGTGATATCTCACTGCCCCAATGCTTTTTGAGAAGATAAATTGGATTTCCTGCCTTCAAAGAGATTTAAATTTAGTTTCTTTTTTTTTTTTAGGAAAAAAATAGTTTTACCTTGTCCATGTGGATGTCCAGAAACTCTAGTTCTGCCGTCAACTTCAATCCGGAGACTGGCCATGCCTCAAAGATGGAGTCCTCAAAGCAGTTCTGAATGAAGAAGGTCTCACCGCTGCTCCAACTCCATGTTTGAGGCATCCTCAGCTCCGCAGAAAAGCATGTTGGCATCCGGCGCAAGAAGGACCAAAATATGTGAAAAAACTATTCACATCTCAACAACATAATCTCTTTAATACATGTTGTCAGCCGCTGGTTCAAAACTACAGGTTATCTGGACATCAGCACAAACAGACAAGTTACAGACTACAGTCTAGTCTGGGTCTCTGCTGGATGTAGCAGCAGAGTGACAAAGAATGGACCAAGAACTCTGGTCTTATACCATGATAATTGAAGACATATGTCCCAACATCCTTAGGTGAAGACAATACCTTCTCTGTTTCAGGACAAACAAATAGCCCCTGTGTAAGTAAGCCTGAGGCTACTCTAAACAGATGTTCTCTACGCTCTTCTTAATTTAACTTCCTGTGTTTCATGGCTGGGGGATGGGAGAATGCTGCTGATGCGTCCATCACACCCCATCACACACGTAGCTTAACCCAAAGCTGTCTAAACTTTTAATATATTCTAATTCACTTTAATGAAAATCCAACAACTCTACTAACAAAATCCAATGTAATAATTATAAATACATGTTTATATTGTATTGTATTGTATTGTATTCTTATCAATTATCTTATCAAGACAACTATATACGTTATTAATCCCATGTGGGAATATTCAATTCAAAATAATTTGTATCCCCTTAAATCACAAAAGCAGTCGTCTCGACAGCAGCAGATTAGAGAATCAAACAGTTTGAACACAGGAAGTGGAGTAATACAAAAGTATTCAAAGTGATCTTCAAAGCTCATCACCAAAGTCCTCTGTGTGTGACCGGCCTCAGCCTCAGAGTGTTTATGTGAATGCAGAGGCTGAATGCACTGAAGGGCTGCAAACACACACACACACACACACACAGACACACACACACACTCACACACACACAGACTGCATTCACTGATCAAAGCTGCCGGTTTTATCTCCAGTAAACCCCAGGAGAGGTGGAGAGCATTTCATGTTGTTTCTTTATCTTGTCCAAACATGTAAATAATCACTGCTGTGTCACACGTCACTGTAAGATCATATAACAACAAAATAAAGTAGCTGGTTTTGATTATTCATGAGAGGACACAAAAAGACCATGTTTGTTTATTAAGCTAAAGCTAGAGATTTTATCCTTTTTTGCATTTCTGTTAAAGATGTCACAGAGGCCAAACATACAAACAGTGAACTGTTCATAGATGCTGCAGGTACTGTGCTCACGACTGCATGTGAAAGCCAGAGCCCATCAGACCTCTGAAGCTATGCAGTGCAGGGCCTGGTTAGTACTGTGATGGGAGACCTCTGGGAACAGCAGGTCCCACAGTGGGGCGGCTGTGACTGTTGTTGTCGCCACGCTTCTGTCACCATGACATGTGCAGCATCTTTGAGTGTCCATAAAACGCACTGTATAAAACTGATGCATCATTATTAAACAGTTTTGAGAGGGAGAAACTTGATACATGGATTTTTAGGATTAAGGTAAAAAATGCCGTGATTTGAAATTTAAGTACACCAGCTTTAATTTAGTTTACAGATACAGTCATAGAGCTTAAGTTCTGCTATCACTGTTGTGCAGTGTTTCAAAGCATGTGTCTGAACAGTTAAAACGTTGAAATGTTATAGTTGATGTTATTGTCATGTTTTTCAGAACGACTGTGTTGTGGAAAACCACGAGGAGTGTCCACCCGAAGGCCTCAATGCGCTGCTGGCCGACGTCTCTTTGGTGAGCAGGTTTAACTGTAGAGCTGGATCAGACTCAATCCAGGACTGAGGCTGTAGATCCAGGACTGAGGCTGTACGTCCAGGACTGAGGCTGTAGCTCCAGGACTGAGGCTGTAGCTCCAGGACTGAGGCTGTACGTCCAGGACTGAGGCTGTGGATCCAGGACTGAGGCTGTAGATCCAGGACTGAGACTTTAGATCCAGGACTGAGGCTGTAGCTCCAGGACTGAGGCTGTAGATCCAGGACTGAGGCTGTAGATCCAGGACTGAGACTTTAGATCCAGGACTGAGGCTGTAGCTCCAGGACTGAGGCTGTAGATCGAGGACTTTACTAAAACATAATATTGAGCCAATTCTTTAACCATCATAAATCATTTGCAGAACATGCTATTTGGGAGAAACACTGTGCTCATTCCATCACTCGTGTTTTTCTGTTGTTTTTCTGTTGCTTTCTACGTCTTTGTTTAGTCCACATTTCAGTTTGGTTTTGTAGGAGACACTGGAGACGAGCGGAGACCAGCGTCCATCTCCCTCAAGCTGGAAAATGTTCTGTTACAGAGCGAGAGACACCGATTTAAACATTTACATTTTCTACTTTTTTGCTATTACCATGTTATAGTGTTGCAATCTCATTCATAAACTAGGTTTAGAGATAGTAAAATAAAATCTATTCAGTATGTAAATAAATGAACATTGAGAGGATTGCATAAATATTTATTTAGATATTTTAAATTTGGCTTAAATTTAGATATATATATATATTTTTTACCAATACCCAGGGCCTATGTGGACAATGATAACATGGTAGTAGAAAGAGCAGACAATGGACCTTATAGTTGCAAAATTTCTATGCACGCTTGGAATGTAAAATGAATGGGATGAGGTGCATAATTGTTAAGAAGTTGTTGCTCAGGTGATTAAAGCTGGGGTACCTAACTTTATTCAAAATGGTACATGTTTATTGTCCCAATAGAAAGAGCCTGCAATGCTATAGTTGATGTAGTTTGAAAGTTAGGTACCCTCAGTCTTACAGACCCATTTCCACCAACCCTACCTGGCTCTACTCTACTCGGCTCTTATGTACCTGGTCGTGTTTCCTTGTACTGTACCGGTACTGTATCCTGGCAACCAACCCACAACAAACCAGTAACCCCAGAAGCTCCTTGGTAACCATGGCTTCCAGCAGCCCCCTACTCAATCTTTATCAGTTAGAACACTTTAGTACCAGCTCGGCCTGGATAGAACCAGAGCCAAGAAGGACTAAATAAAGTAGGTAGGAGTAGAGCAAAGTAGAGTAGAGCCAAGTAGAGTGGAGTAGAGCCGAGTAGAGTACAGTAGGGCCAAGTAGAGTAGAGTAGGGCCGAGTAGAGTAGGACCAAGTAGAGTAGAGTAGTGCCAAGTAGAGTGGAGTAGGACCAAGTAGAGTAGAGTAGGGCCAAGTAGAGTAGAGTAGTGCCAAGTAGAGTAGAGTAGAGCCGAGTAGACTAGAGTAGGGCAGAGTAGAGTAGAAAAGGGCCAAGTAGAGTAGAGTAGAACCAAGTAGAGATGGACCAAGTAGAGTAGAACCAAGTAGAGTAGAGCCAAGTTGAGTAGAGTAGAGTGAGCAAGTAGGGCTGGTGGAAACGGGGCTGTTCCAGAATCTATAACTTTGGGAGATTGTTTCCGTCTCTTAATTCTCTTTGACTTTCCAGAGTTTGATGCCCGTTTCCCGTTTCCCACATCACTCTAAAGCTTATCCTTCCTCTTCATTAACAAAAAAACGTCACATTTTTCCATCCAGGACGACGTACCGTGCGATTCTCCGCCCACGTTCCGCCCTCCGCCTCCTCCCAGGGCGCCGCAGTCCCACCCGAGCCACCGCGATGCGCTCAACAAAAGCAACTCGTCCGAATCCTCTCACTCAGGCCTCTACTTCACGGCGCCCACCCAGGACCCCAGCCACCCGCACGCCACCAGCCCGTCCCGGGAGTACGCGGCGATCCGGAGGCGCCACACGACCAGGAGGGAGCCCATGCCAAACGCGCGCCTCTCCACGGTGGTGCGGCACAACATCGGGCCCTTCCCCCGGGTGCAGTCCCCGAGCAGAGGTGCGAAACAGGTCCCTCCGCCCCCGCCACCCCCCCTGCCTGCGCCCGCCCCGCCCCCGCTCCGCTCCCAGCCCGTGTCTGTGTCCAAAATGTCCAGGGCATCTCCAGGCGGCGCCAAGCAGACGTTTGTGGCGGTGGAGGTGCATCAGAACAACACGGAACCGGACGTGAATGAGGTGCGACCGCTGCCAAAGGCCAGAGGTGAGGCTCTTTCATCAACATCTAACTGTATGTGTTTAGGATATTTATTTAGCAGCAGCACTCCCAGAGTAGGGATGTAAAAAACTATGAATTTTCATGACCGACCACCGAGCCTCATTAACCGGTTGAAACCGGTTAACCGCGTAGTTTAAAATAGTCCACGTTCTTTGAAATAATAGCCATTTTGAGCCGCGTACTTTTCAAGTGCAGCTCTGTGTTCTACTGGATCAGAGCCGAGACAGCGGCGCCAAAACCCGCAACAGCTCCGGCACCTTTGCGCACAGAGAACTGCTTTTTTAATCTTCCCATTCTGCTGTGCTGCGGGTTAATACCAAAACTTTCTAGCAGCAAACGACGGCTCGTCCACATGGTCAGAGCAGCGAGTGACGAGCCGCGTCTCACAGGTCTTCACAAAAGTTTAAATACAAGTGATGTGTGCGGAGCTGATCCCGAGGACCATAAACACAAACATGTTCCATGTGGTTTGACTGGAGCCGCGTATTTGCGCGAATCCTTTGGGCTCCGTGACACAGAGGAGCGCGACAGACCGGTATGTGTGTGTGTGTGTATGTATGTGTGTGTGTATGTATATGTGTGTGTGTGTAAATGTAAGCTCCAATGTAGTTCTGACCCGCGCCAGTGTGCAACTTTGACGGTAACAGAGGGGAGAGATGATGCGTGTGGATGTTACGTACGGAGAGGGGGAATGTGTGTGTGTGTGTGTGTGTGTGTGCGTGTGCGTGTGTGCGTGTGTGTGTGTGTGTGTGTGTGTGTGTGTGTGTGTGCGTGTGCGTGTGCGTGTGCGTGTGCGTGTGCGTGTGCGTGTGCGCGTGTGCGTGTGTGCATATGTGGCTCGTGCGGCGTGAGAGTCGTCCCGGAGTTTATGATACATGGGCGCACACAGCTAGATACAGACCCGCTCGTCACACCGTGCAAATAGGGCTTAAAATAGCGTTATTAAGAGACCTCCCCTCTCCCTTTTTTCTCTTTTTTAACCGACAGCTTTGACCGGTTAACGCTGTGACGGTCAACCACCGGTTAAACGGTCGCCGATTTACATCCCTATCCCAGAGCAGTCAATTTGACGACTTTTAGTTTTGGAAGTGTAATCTAAACTCTTTCTTTTTTTGTTGTTTATTTCAATCTCATTTTTCTTTTGCTCAGCTTTTAGTTTTGTAAGTGTCGTTACTCAGAGTATGGACATTTGTGGTCTACCGTACTTTCTGGACTATAAGGCGCACCTGTTTATAAGCCGCAGGTTTAAATTTAATTGTTTAAATTCTGTATTAATTTTTTTAATATATACAGTCTATGGTTTAAACAGATAATCAATAAAAAATCCTATAAATAATAAGTCCATTTACTGTGCTTTGACAACGGCCCAACTCTACCACAATAAAAATGTATTAGCCACATTGCTTCATAAGCCGCAGGGAACAAACAACTAGAAAAAAGTCGCAGCTTTTAGTCCAGATATTACAGTAGTTCAATCACATTGTGTAGAATGAGTCTGGTGTGTGTGTGAGTGAACGGTAGGTGGTGTTAGGAGGGGCCGATTGCACATACTGGTTACCTCGAGTCTGTCAGTGTTCCCCAGGGCACCTATGGCTACATTGTTAGTTTATCATCACCGTGAATGGAGTAAATGAATAATGCCGTGAAAGTCTTTGTGCGTCCTAAAGTGCTATATCAAAATGATTTATTCTTTGTTAAATGTATGAAAATGTGTTAGTAGCAACAAAGAGGCAATTGGGAATGGCGCCTTTCTGTCCCAGCTTGTGCTAGTTGCTAGCTGAAGCTGAATTTGGGGACAGAAGACACCTGATTGGTCTGTTGTTAAGGCTCATATCTAGACAAAGACTAACAAAATAAAACACCAGGATCAAAAAGAGAGTGATGATTTTTGTTTTAAACCTCAAAATTGTGGGTGAGACACAAAAAGTTTCTGAGCTAGTGGAGATTACTGTTCAATGTTTAGACTACAAAATGGGAGACATGAAAGACGTGGAGTGGATTTTCGCCTACTCCGCTCTCTTCCAAGGCTAAAGACCATCCCCAGTATTAAAATCGAACTTTTTAATGCCCAGTCTCTGATAAATAAAAGTAGTCTTATACATGAACATATTCTTGATAAAAATATTGACATTATGTGCCTAACTGAAACGTGGCATAAACCAGAGTCATATCTCGCCCTGAATGAGGCCTGTCCCCCTGGATACACTTACCTGGAGAAGGCTAGGACCACTGGACGTGGAGGAGGCTTGGCAGTGATACACCACAAAGACCTCCATCTACTATCCCTCCCTGTGCCAGCGTTATCCACATTTGAATGCCTCTTATTCAAATGTATATCAAAAATAACAACAACAATAGTCCTTATTTACCGTCCACCTAAAATGCATTCAGGTTTCATCACTGAACTACAGGACCTGCTAGTATCACTCTGTGCAACATCCTCCAATACAGTCATACTTGGGGATTTTAACTTGCATGTTGACTCCCCCACAAACCAATTTGCTTGTGAGTTTCTCGAACTCTTGGACTGTCTCCATCTCAAGCAGCATGTAGAAGGGCCCACACACACGAAGGGGCATACCCTCAATCTAGTCATAACCGACACTGCCCCTATAACCAACCTTCAAGTCTATGACTTAGGTGTGTCTGACCATAAGGCCATTTCAATGGAGCTGTCCCTAGGATGCTCATGCTCCAGACCAAAGCGCAAAAATACCAGGACATTCAAAAACTCTCCTCCTTCACTAGCTTTATATCAGTTAGTGAATCTGTTCAACATTACAACTCAGGCCTTCATAACATTCTTGACACCCATGCACCGTTAAAAACAAGAACAGTTTCTTTTCCCAGATCATCCCCATGGTTCACAGATGAGCTGAGAAAAATGAAAACGACTGGTCGAGCTCTGGAGCGGCAGTACCTGGCTAGCAGGCTGGTAGTACATAAAGAAGCCTATCGAAACCATCAAAAAGCCTATTCTAAAGCTCTAGCTACAGCCCGATCTCAATTCTATTCACACAAAATCACCAGTAATTCAGGAAATTCAAAAAAACTATTTTCCACCATTAGCTCGCTTCTCAAACCCCGCATACACACAAACAGTGATACCAGTGAGGATCAGTGTAATAGGTTCATGGACTCTTTTACCAACAAGATTGATCAAATACGCTCTACCTTTCCTGCTCTGCCTCCCCTTCATCCAGGAAATATGCTTTTGGAGTCACAGTCCACATTCTCTCAATTTCACAGTATTACACAGACAGAGGTAGAGGGCGTCATGATGAACATGAGGGCCTCTACATGCTCTTTGGATCCACTGCCAACACCACTAATAAAAGCCAATATCCCTGCCATCAGTCCATTAATTACTGCAGTAATAAATCATTCATTACAATCTGGTGAAGTCCCGCCTGCTCTCAAAACTGCAGTCATTCATCCCCAATTGAAAAAACCCTCATTAGACCCTGAAGATCTGGCAAACTACCGACCAGTATCTAACCTACCGTTTTTATCCAAGGTCCTGGAGAAGGTTGTTGCAGCCCAGCTTCATCATCATCTTCAAACACATAATCTGTACGAAAAATTCCAATCAGGTTTCCGGTCAGCGCACAGCACAGAGACAGCCTTGGTGAGAGTCACAAATGACTTGCTGATGGCTGCAGATCAGGGCTCACCATCTCTCCTGGTCCTCTTGGATCTGTCAGCCGCTTTTGACACCGTGGACCATCATATCCTACTCCATCGGCTCCAGTCAGTTGTTGGCCTCACCGATAATACCCTAGATTGGTTCCGCTCATACCTCACAGGAAGAAAGGAGTGTGTCGCCCTGGGGGAGGCTAAATCGTTGCCCCACACAGTTACTTGTGGGGTCCCTCAAGGATCGGTCCTGGGGCCGGTCCTTTTTACAATCTACATGCTCCCCCTAGGCCAGGTAATCAGAAACCATCAAGCCTCTTTTCACTGTTACGCTGATGATACGCAGCTGTACATGAAAATTGACTCCACATCCTCCTCAGTCCCACCGGCCACACTCCACGCCTGCCTGGAGGAGATAAAGGCATGGATGACTAGCAACTTCCTCCAGTTGAATAGTAGCAAAACTGAAGCCATCTTGATTGGCACCCGGCACCAAATCCAGTCATCCACCATATCCAATATTCATGTTTCGGGCCATAACATTCCCCTTTCCTCCTCTGTTACAAACCTAGGGGTCAGATTTGATCCTCATCTTTCATTTGAGAATCATATCCGCCACCTCTGCAAAGTGTCCTTCCATCATCTACGAAATATTGCCAAACTCCGCCCCTCCCTCTCACAGACAGATGCTGAGAAATTGGTACATGCCTTTGTCTCCTCCAGGCTGGACTACTGCAATGCCCTCCTTGTCGGGATCCCTGGTAAGAGCCTGCTGAAGCTCCAGCACATCCAGAACTGTGCAGCCAGGATCCTGACGAGGAGGCGCAAGTATGACCACATCACCCCTGTCCTCCAGTCTCTTCATTGGCTGCCCATCCAATACAGAATCCACTATAAAATCTGCCTCCTCACATACCAATGTGTCCATGGAACAGCCCCGACATACCTCACTGAGCTAGTTACTCCACACACCACCACAAGGCGCTTACGGTCCACTTCCACCCATACTCTTCACCAGCCCGTGACCAAGCTCTCCACAATGGGAGATAGGGCCTTTAAGGCAGTTGCCCCTAGACTCTGGAACGCCCTGCCAGATACCCTGAGGGCTCCCCAGAGTGTTGAGGCCTTTAAAAAAGGCCTGAAAACACATTTATTTAAAAAGGCCTTTTAGTTTGTTTTTGCTCTTGTGCTTGCTTTGTTTTACTATGTCATGTTCATTTTGTTTTATCTGATTTTAATCTACCTGTTGTAGCACTTTGAGGTTTCTTTGAAATGTAAAGTGCAATATAAATAAAATTTATTATTATTATTATTATAATGTTAGTCAATAGGAGCCAGCGGGAGTTGGAGCAAAACTTCATTCATGAGCACTTCCCTATTGGGCTTCATTGAGCTTGCGGTTAGCATGCATACAGTCTGACGGGTGAAAGCTGATATTGATACTTGATCGGCAAAAGCTTTGATACCACTCTTTTCTGGTATCGGGGTTCGCTAGCAGGCTACTTGGTATCAACTATAACCTGCCTTGCGTTTAGATCAGATCATACAGTTGTCAATAATTTTTTTTATAGAGTTTTATAGATTTATGTACAATGTGTTTGGTTTGGATCTATGTGCACACCGTAAACATTTAATAAACATTTGGCTTCCATCAATCCTAGCGTTAATAATATCCATTTAATAAACGGCCGTTGCCTTCCTCGGCTTCGCTCTGAAAATCTATCCATCTTCCTGCTGTCTTAATTAGCCTTTATTGACATTCACACTACATCTGTTCAGACTTGAGCTCCCCGGAATCCATTTTCCAAACACTCCCAAGCTTCGGAGCTGTGAAGTCGCCTGAGAAAATAAAATTAAAGAAATGGTCGTTAGTACTTGACGAGTTTGTGTGCCTAATCCTGCCAGTTTATTTCCAGTTTACTTCCGATGAGAAATTGCCCGAGACATTTAAAGCCCAGAGTAATATTAATTAGTTTTTCAATGCAGTTCCGTCAGATCCCTGCACTGTTTTGTTGAGACGCAGTTTGTTCTCTGAATTTGAAAGAGGAGTAATTAGGTCAGAGAACATTGTCAAAAATATGAGAGGGGCTGAGTTGCATGCTGAAGGGCACACTGTTATTTGGAGAGATAACCTCATTTGACGCCTGTTGAAAACGCGAGAAAAAATGCGTCTTGTGTAGACTGTAAAATGAACAACATGTCGTCAAAGAGGGCGTACGTGCGTCTGCTTAACTGGCAACTCGGAAATCAGAGGAATAGTAGAAAACATCTCTTCTTAACTAATGGCAAATTAGCCTTGGCAATAAATGTTGTAGTGTTTCATTTTTTGACTGTGTCCCAACCAAAGCAATACATTAACTAAAATAAATGGGGCACTCTTTGTTACTCTTTATGAATGAATCCATCCATCCATCCATTTTCTACCCTTTAATCCACTTCTGGGTCAGGGGGGTGGCAGTCAGAGATGCCACCCAAGTCTCATAGCACCAGCCCCTCACTGACCCTCTGCAGGTGGTGAGTCCACAGGAGGACAGCTGCTCTCTGACTGTGAGCATAGCCTTGATCTTTCAGTGGGGGCTTTGGGCAAAGTGGGGTTAAGTGTCTTGCCCAAGGACACAACGACAGCAGTCATCAGTGGGAGTCGGTGGAGAAGGTGCAGAGGTGGGAATTGAACCTACAACCTCCTGGCCATAAGGCCAATGCTCTACCAACTGAGCTACTGTCCCCCCACTTTCGGTCACTTGTACAATTTTACCCATTGTTTCAAAGCAGTAAATCTTCAGAAGGGCTGTAAATGCCCGCGGCCATTTTGAAAAGCCCCATAGAAACCAAAAGTGATGGCCAATAGTTTCAAAGGCGGAGATTGGCGTGGCTACTTCCGTTAATATTTACAGTCTATGGTTTTATATTGTTTAAAAGCTACTGTAATTATATAATGAAAATAACCACAGCATGTTTTTTTATCATAAACAAGAATGAGAAGTATTATTATGAGGAGACTCATGTGGACCGCTTGTATCAGCGATCTCGTCTTTTCGGGCATGTGAGTGAAGGGATGCAGACTGAGCGGGAAATCGTGAGCTTTGACTGCAGACACTGCTCCCTCTTCACTCTGATACAGCAACCGCATCACACACTGCACCGATCCGATCCGTCCGCCAATTTCACACACCAAAATAGTTTTAAGCACATACTTTTGTTCTGTTATGCTGGCTCTAGGGCCCTCCAGTGCATCACAGGAAAATTAGCATTTGTTTTTTGGAGAAAACTCTTTCCAACAAACTGGTCGACCTTCTAAACTCAGAGTGCTTTTCTGGAAATTGTTCCAGCATTCAAAAGGTGACAGAGTAAAAGTAAAAACTAGGCTTTGTAAATGGATGTGGCTTCTCTAACATGTGTTCCGGCCTCCTCCTGCAGGTGGCGCTCTGTCGCAGCTGTCTGATATTGGACAGACCACCCTGAGCGAGGACAGCGGGGTGGACATCGCAGAGGGCCGTCATCATGGAGACCGGACACAGGGGGGAGGGGGGGGGAGCCGCCCAAAACCGGTGAGGGTTGGGAGGCGAGAGAGCAGGGAGTGTGGAGTGGTCAGGACACGGCAGATCAAAGGACACATCTCATACCTACAATAATGTTTCAAGTACTTTGACAGAGTTTAGATATGTTTTGTTTAAGCAGCTGTTCTACTTCTTTGTAAGTAAGACACAGGTGTTGAAACCAGTTGGAAAATTTGCAATTATGGTCGGCAATAATCATAGTTTTACAAAAAGTTCCACTGAAAAACTTTTGTCAAAACAAGCCTGATAGTAAATTTTAAACTCACTTAGAATTTGTTTATACTCGCAATATTTTCTCCTGATGCTTCCTTAATGTGTAACGGTGCCCTCTATCAATTAAAGGGGGCAACGTAAAATGGAAACTAGTTTTACACAAAAAATTACGACTTTTAATTTTGAGCTCAAAAGTTGGCAAAAGGATGATGGGAAAAAAAAAGATAATATTTGTGATTATGTTTTGGGATAATCTTTTAGAGTTTGTTTTTCTGTAAAAATGTGCTTTAACACTATAACTCCCACAATTCTGGAAGCACTAGAACTCCCAGGGCCGTCATTTTGACTGCTCCCATTCAAACCAAATGAATTCTTAGAAATCGCCCCAAAAATGTTTGTTTTTTTGAACAGATTAATAAAAAGTAGGTGATGTGGAATGTTTTTACCTTCACTAACATTTAATTAGTGCTAAAACTGGTGATTATAATACCGGGCTAGAGGAGCCAGAGCGAGTAGGAGCAAGACGTCGTTGATTAGCACTTCTCTATTGGGCTTAGTTGAGCTAGCGGGTTAGCATCGTCCATCTCTGAAGATGGAAACATAAAAACATTGCCAAACAATTCCAATCTCTTGGATATGTGTCCAAGTCTCAGTGCCCTGACCACGACCAGCTCCAAAACTCCAGTGTTCTTCTCAGACATAACTATGACATGTTTTTTTCTAACATTCTTTCCTCCCTCTTGTTCCTAACCCTAACGCTGCCTCTTCTTCCTCCGCCTGCGTTTTCCTTTCATGTCCTCATCTTGATGTCTTTTCACCTGTCACACCGCCCATTATCCCATCACCGCAGCAACCACACACTCCGCCATGTTCCAAAAACTATTATTACATGAACACGGTCAATGGGAAAATTGATGCTGGGGGCTTCGGATAGCTCCAAACATCTCCAAGAATAACCTTCACGTGTCGGAGCGTGTTGTGTTTGTCCTCTGTGTACAAATCAAAACAAATTCAGAGTTTGTCTCGAGATAATGGATGCAATTATATTGAAGTCCTGGATGAGAGAAAGTGGGGGAACTAGAATTTTCAAACGGAATGTAGTGGATTCTTGGAGAGATAAGTGTTGTAGCATCTTTTCTTTTTGCATAGTGGAAAACCAAGATTTAAAACAAAACAAAAAATCAAATCAAATGCTGATTTTGCTGGTAACAATTGTTGGGTGTTTGATAAATATATATGTACTGTATGTATTATGAAAGTGCACATATACAATACCTGTGCTATTCTTGGGTTTCATGAACCTGGCCTGTAGGGGGCGAATGAGCAGAGATGGGACAACTCAGTTTTGCTCCCATTGAAAACCATGTGAATCGTGTCTGTTTTGGGGTCAAAAGGTTCTCCTCCTGTGCCGTGTACGGTTGTTGTAACAGTCTTAATCCGGGACACTCAATTGTAAGGGAGTACTAAAAAAGAGTCTTGATTTCGGGCATTTTTGGAAAGAAAAACAGAAGAAATGGCTGCGTTTCATTTGGGTGGCCTGCAGGGGGCGCTTATCTGGGAAAGCCCTGATCCACCTCCTGCCTCATTCCAGTGATTTTTTTCAAAGTGTACTCCTTTATATGAGACCACAGTTGGAACATAAACAAACTATTGTCTTTCTCTGTATCAGCGCGGTTGCTACAAGCGTACACCGCACACAAAAAGATGGCATTTTGACAGTGCTTCTTCTACTATATCTCCGTGTACCCAAGAATACAATGTTACAGTACATGGCTCATTAGAATCTGTGATCATCTGTGGAAAACCAACCTCACAGAGACGGGATATTTCAAACCAGAGCCACGCCGGTCTACTAAAAAGTACCTGGAATTGGCAGGTTTATAAAGCTGGCCACCCAAAGGAAGGAGTAATATGTAATAATAATCTGCATTTTGATTGGATAGAATAAATCAGCTTTGCAATCATTACCAGCAAAAGCAATATTTGATTTGTATTTGAGGAGAAATGTGTCTCTTACTTGGAAATTAGACTACAGTAAAAAGAGAACACGCAGTGGAACAGGTGCTGGTACGCAGGCCGCCGTTTGAGACCCTGACCTGTGTGTTGTGTGTAGCCCGGTCTGCTGGAGCCCACGTCCACGCTGGTGAGGGTGAAGAAGAGCGCCGGCACCCTGGGGATCGCCATCGAGGGGGGGGCCAACACCCGACAGCCGCTTCCCCGGATCGTCACCATACAGGTCAGTGCTCCCATTACGCTTTAGTTCAATTCTGTCTGCTCCTTTACATTTGTGTGACAAGACGACAATTATATGAAATGTAATTGTAGTATGTGATGTATCGTTATGTCCACTATTGAAATAAATAGTTAAACAATGAAAATTAAGATACAAACTCATTTTGTGAAACCCTAAATCACAATATCTTGGAGGACTTTACAAAATGAGTCGCAAGTTTTAATTCAGTGCTAGAAGGAGCGCTACCGCAGGACCTTTATCCCCATAGCTGTCAGACTGTACAATAAGTCACTTTATGTCACTTGCACTAGGACTAAAAACCTGCACTACTATTGTCCCTGTTTCTTTAATTGCCACTTTTTTATTGTACATAATATATCCTGAAAATACTTTTTTGTTTGGGCCTTTAGCATGTTGGCACAGATCTTGAGTGATTCTATCCATGCCAAATGTGACACGTAATTTTCTTCTGTGTGAGATCATTAAAATCTTATCTTATCTAAATCATAGTGGTCGTTCAATACTTTGTGATTTGAAAGCTAGTTACCCCAGCTTTAAGGGCAACCCAAAACTAAAATGGCAGTTATGTTTATATATTTTCAAAAGGGATTTCCAATTCCAAAACCAAAACAAATCCGACAGGAACACTTTATGCTGTTGTCTCAGTTGTTATAATTGGATTTTTAGCTGGAGTTGCTTTTATAGGAGCCTAAAGCCATCTCCACGGCACATACCTGGACATTTGCCCGCAGCATTAGCCTCCTTGGTCATTTCCTTCGTCCTTCTACCTCTGCTGGAAGCGCTGATTGTGAGCAGAGCGGCTGATTGCACTCTAAATCAGAACATTCACAATCACACAGGAGCAAAGACGGAGCGTGAAGTGGGCTCCTAATGACACCGAGCCACGGCCGGGCGAGAATGGGATCTTTCTCTCTGAACATATCCGTGCAGGGTTTTAGGATATAAAAGATCCACTAAGACCTGGATTTGGACTTGAGTGTCTTGTTTTATTGGACTTCTGTGTGAGTTTCAGCACAAAGGGGTCCGTCATAGCCCCAGAGCCCTATATCACAACAGCAGTCGTCTCGAAGGACTTTACAAAGTTGTGGATTCGCCCACAACAGAGCAGAGAATAAAACAGTTTGAACACAAGAAATGCAATACCATAGTCCCTTGGTAGAAAGAGATACATCTTTCGCAGTCTCACTGTTATCCAGATTTTTTTTTGCACTACAATTTTGTCAGCTTTTCTGTATGTGTATCCTCCAACAACATCATATAACCGCTAGGCAAGGCAAGGCAAGTTTATTTGTATAGCACAATTCATACACAAGGCAACTCAAAGTGCTGAACAAAACAAGAAAGCATTAAAATCATAAATAATCACAGAACATTAAAAAGAAAGATAAAAATATAAAATCCCTCAGTTGTATGCACAGCTAAACAGCACCGTTTTTAACTTGGTTTTAAACATTGTCAGAGAGGAGGCCTGTCTCACATCTTCAGGAAGATTGTTCCAGATTTTAGCAGCATGAATCTGAAAAGCAGCCTCCCCATGTTTAGTTCTGACTCTGGGCACTAACAGGACACAACTGTGCTCCTCAGAGTCCGGGCTGGTTCATATGGGACTAACATGTCACTAATATATTTTGGTGCGAGGCCATGGAGAGACTTGTATACAAGCAGAGCTGTTTTAAAGTCTATTCTCTGAGCCATAGGAAGCCAGTGCAGAGACCTGAGGACCGGACTAATGTGGTCGTACTTCCTGGTTCTTGTCAGGACTCGAGCTGCTGCATTTTGAATGTACTGCAGCTGTTTTACAGCCTGTTTGGACAGACCTGTGAGCAGGCCATTGCAGTAGTCTAACCTACTGGAGACAAATGCATGGATAAGAATCTCCAGGTCTGCTTTAGACACTATGTTTTTGATCCTGGCAATGTTTTTTAGATGGTAAAAAGCTGCTGATGTTACTGATTTGATGTGGCTATTAAAATTTAAGTCTGAGTCCAGTATTACCCCTAGATTTCTGACCTTGTTTGAAGGTTTTAGGGAGAGAGACTGTAGATGACAGATGACTCTCTCTTTGTTTCTGGGGACCAAAGACAATCATTTCAGTTTTGTCTGCGTTTAGCTGAAGGAAGTTTTTTTGCATCCACTCACTGATCTGTTGGATACAGTGAAGGAGTGAGTCTACTGGTCCATGTTCTCCTGCAGTCAGTGAGACATAGATCTGAGTGTCGTCTGCATAGTTATGATAGGACACTTTGTTTCTGCGTATTAACTGACCTAACGGCAGCATGGAGAGATTGAATACATACATATGATCTGAGACACAGTTTCCAATCTCCACAAAGTACTTCCTGTCTTCAAGGTAAGACCTAAACCAACTTAGGGCCGTGCCAGCGACGCCAACCCAGTCCTCTAGTCTCTGTAAGAGGATCTCATGGTCGACAGTGTCAAAGGCAGCACTTAGATCTAACAAGATTAAGATTGAGACTTTGCCTGCGTCAGTGTTCAGCCGGATATCGTTTGTAACCTTAACGAGAGCAGTCTCAGTGCTGTGGTGGGGTCTAAAGCCGGACTGAAACATATCAAATGAGTTGTTGATTATAAGAAATCTAGTAAGCTGTAGGTAGACAACTTTTTCAAGGACTTTCCCCATAAATGGCAGATTTGAGATGGGACGATAGTTATTAAGTACAGTGGCATCCTGACTGCTCTTTTTTAGCAGGGGCCTGATGACTGCAGTTTTCAGGGCCTTTGGGAATATTCCAGAATGAAGGGACATGTTTACTATCTGTGTGAGTGAAGGTAACAGACTGCTCAGAACAGACTTTAGAAATCTAGTGGGTAGTACATCCAAGCTGCATGTGGAGGAGCTCAAACTGGAGATTATCTCTTGGACATTTTTGGAGAGGTGGGTGGTTCTTGGGTGTTGGACGAGGGGGGGTTGGAGGTGGATGGGAGAATTTGAGTTGGAATTTGATCTGGCTACAGTGGGTGTGAGAGGAATAGTCTTCATCGCCGATCTTATCATGCCTGCAGAGTGTTCCGGTAAATCCAATAGTGATGGAAAACACAGGTAAAGGTTGTCCTCATGTTCCTTAGATGGAGTGGATGTGGCGGGGGGGACCCAAACCGGGTCCATGGAAGGTGATGAGGGAGTCTTTGGTGGAGACGGAGGTGGTTGAGAGGCTTCCAGTGCAGGCCTGTCTGTAGCCTGGAGCAATGGGGGGTGCTTCACGGGAGCTGTAGGTGGGGAAGGTGCTGCTGAAGATGATGCAGCAGCCACAGCTGGTGCTGGTGGTGCTCATGCTGAAGGCGCTGATGACGCTGTGGCAGCCACTGCTGCTGCTGGTGCTGGATCCGCTGCTGCTGATGATGCTGGTGGACGTGTTGAGTTCTTTTGAGGCGGTGGAGGTGCAGAGACCTCTGGGTTCCGTGGAGAGGGTCTCGCCCTTTGCATCCTCCTCCCTTTCAACGGCTGAACGCGCTGCGCAGGCTCAGGTCTTAAGGCAGATGCAAAGTTATCCATCAACACTTTTACTCCGTATTTGTTCAGATGTGGGCCTTTCCCTTCAAAGAGCTCGAGCCTATTCCAGAACAGATTGAAGTTTTCAATGAATCCAAGTCCTCTGCGTGAACACTCATTGTGTAGAAATGTATTTAACTGGTACAGACGGCTAAACTTCTCGATTTTTCCATCTGCATTTGGAATGGGTCCACTGATTAACATGCGTAACTCCATTTTTTTAAGGTCATCCAGCAGCAGAGAAAAATCTCTTCTCAACTTCTCGGTGGATTTATCATGAATGTCTACTGCCCCTGTGTGTATCAACAATGTACTTACACCCTTGGTTTGAGATAAAACTTTTGGCACCAGAGCTCTTATCTCAGACACTTTGGCCGAGTGCACAGAATTAGTCTGTACAAAGTTCAAAGATACATTCCGGGAATGGCAGAATCTCCAAGCAGCAAACACCGTGGCCTTGACGGCGGGGGAGAAACAGACTGTGGCTTTGCTTCTTCAAACAGAGCAGCATAACGATTTGAAGTTTTCCAAACATTTCGTGGCAGAATTCCACTCCCTCATTCTTAGCTTTGTCAACTTTGGGTTTAGCGCCGCATTTATTCCAATAGTTCTCCTTGTTGATTTTGGGAAAAGTAATTACGTCATCATAACTTACATTTCCAGTCTGTCCATTCATTCCATTTTCACACATTGGAAGAGTCGGGTTAAGTCCCATTTCTGTTTCCAAAATATCCATCCGTTTTTGAAGAAATTTCAGCTGATATTCCAGAGTGCAGCAGCCATCGGAGATAATTCTTTGTTTCTTTAATGTTGACAAATTTCACAAAGCTGAAGTCTGCAGAATGAGTAATCCGTGTTTTGTAGAATAAAAATGTAAATAAAGCGATTAAAAGAGATTACAAAGCGAAGCAAACAGCGTAGCAGCAAGAAACACGTCTACACACTCCAAGCAGGAAGTGCTAGTATGACATGACAGTTATATTTATTGAACGTCAGAAGAAATCTTTTATGGCTTGTGTAGTTCAGAGGTATACCGGTAGCCCTCAGTCCTGCTCCTGCATTTTACAGTGTATGAACGGCTTTTGACAGCTGCAGCAGTGCTCACACTTACAATGAACAGGTTTTCTATCGCCGCACTCATACTTACTGAGTTTAGGTAGTTAGAAAAGTTGGGTGTCGGCTCAATAAGGCCGGTGGGGGTGGACCCAGAAAGAGAATTACCCATTGCCTTTGTATGGCGTCTTTTTTCCCGTCAAAGACCTCTTTACAGGAGGGTCCAAAAGTCACTCTTGGCTCTACGCTACGTTCCAGATGTGCGTTCCAGTATCTAAAGTCTCTGTGCACTCGTTAAATGAATGGGGCTAAAACAAGTGACCACTTTTTTTAACAAATTTACATCGGAGCCATATGACGATTACTGTCCTTAAATGTTAATAAATGTCCTGGATCATCACGGTCCTCAGATCCTTCT